AAATTTTAACCTTGCAGCCAAAAAGGAAGAAAAAAAAATGGGAAAAAGAAGAAAAAAACACACTAAGGAGGAAATGAAATTTATTCGCTTAACGGCTTTTCGTACGCTCCAATGACTTTTAAATTTACAGTGGTTGCGGAATACAAAAAAAAAAGAAAATATACAAAGGAAAATATACGTGAAAAAATATAGTCATCAAGATTAGAGTGCGTTGTGGAAGAGACATCTATCTATATACATATATATATAAAATTCTATAAAGAAAAAAGAAAATATATATTTTTCTTAATACTCTTTAACGAAGACGTAATGGTTTTATTGTTTTAAACAAGGCAAGCAAATATTGTCACTTAGGGTTACATTAAAAAAAAAAAAAAAAAAAAAAATAGATATTTTTATAGGAACTCAATGACAAGATGCTATTAAATCATACTTAGTAAAAAAGTCATGTTATTCTATTATATTATGAAACTAAAGGAGTTTTGTGCTCGCTAGCAATGCAATCGCAACTTGATAGTATTCGGCGATACGCTTCAAAAGTGCTTGGCAAACTACGACATGAATTTTATATATTTTATGATAGCTAACAGGAGAGTCGAAGAACAGTATAATGCAATGCTCACGTCCTATATATTTTCGATAGAATGATAAATAAATACTATTTGCACATATATATGCATGTATAAAGAAGAGCAAATGGAAACTTTATGGGATAAGATACTAAGAGTATTTTTTCGCAATTTTTGAAATTTATACGAAAAATTATGTGAATTGTCAATTCATTTGCGGAAAGTGGCAGCCGCTCAAAGCAAGCTTGACAGTGACAGACGTTTTCAAGGGAAAACTAATGACACTTACGCGCTGAGTGATTAAAAGAATTGTTAGCGCTCTCGGAAACCATGCTTCTTAAATTCTTAGATGATTGCGTAGACCTGACGAAAAAAATTACCAGTTGGGTTTACAAAATTGTTTGTCCTCAAAAATTAAAAAAGAGAAAAACTATGAAAACTACACCCGTCTGTGGCCATCTCTTCTCTAATATAGGTTGAAAATACAAAACTAACGATTACATTGCACGGACGTGGCGGACTTTTTACATTCTTTGTAAACTATATTTAGGCATTTTTATCCTTAGCCCGTTGGAGTTTATAAGTAAGTAATTAGCAAAAAAAACGCCGTAAGCAGAGGTGTGTCCTTTTAAGGCCGTCTCTTCATTTTGGCAAGCGGGAAAATGTGTATCACGGGTATTACACAGGCGGACGGACGGACGGACGGACGGACGGACAGATGCTTAAGCATTCATAAAAAGATAAAGGTAATGATGCTGATTAAAGTAAGTGCAAATTGTCTTGAGGTCGGCTTGGCTTGCAAGTAATACTGTCGCCAAGAAGTGAGACCAATATTCAAATTAAATTGTGCGGGTATGTCGAATATCAAAGTTAGTTTTTTTCTAAATTGGTAGCACTGTGACAGACATCAGTGCCAAATTTCACATCATAAACGTTCGTTAGATGGTCAGCTACGCTTGGTTTTTACTCATACAAAAAACATCTTTTCCACAAGTCATTTTGAGACTTGGATCTAGGCGCTCGGAAACCAACAATCAATCGAGCAACTATCATGCAAAAGGTGAGTCGTGACCGGTAAAATCGCGCCCAATTCGCTCAAAAATCAATTCGCTATTAACAGTTTTTTTTTTCATCATCGTCGTGCTGTACACGTTGGGTTCTTCTCACCGGAAGGACGATCACTTTGAAGGTGACGAAATAGATTTGGCATAACAAGCGGATTTAAAAAAAGACAGTAATACACCGGGAATAATGTCACTCTGAAGCAACATATCTGCTTACGTTAAGCTTGAACAAACAAACAAACCAAACAACAAACAAGACAAACAAAAAATAACAAATTCTCCAGTCATATCATGTAGGTCTATGCAGAAGATACCTCACGGCCGCCAATATTCGTATCAATTACGCCGTCTATAGCCATCCACAGTTAGCGTATAAGTCGTATGCGTGGACGGGAGCGATGTAATGTGGGCTGTGTTGGGCTCATGTACAGCTACATTTCGGGCAAGTGTTCTACAGAGATAAAAGAGATTTGTCTACGAATTAAGTGCCTTCTCAGCGTTCCCACCCACTCATTCTGGAGTTATCTGCATGCCTAACAACAAACTACCGCATTTGTCGTCCGACAAACCGTATCGCCCGTCTTTGGAACAACCTACCATCGATAGTTGTCTTTCCCACGCGATGTCTCCTTTTTCATGTCGAATTTCACATGGCTTTAGTATTATATTATATCCTTTGCCTATATCGAACGAACGCCTAAGCAGCGATGGCAGCCTCTTAACAACTGGGGGGAGAGTAGAGCGAAGACTTTTTCTCCTTTAGAATCAAATTTTTATTCTCAAGTTGCAAAAGTCTTGATAGAGTACATCGGCAGCGTTGTGTATTTCCCTTCAAAGTCTCTTTTTTTCTCTAGACAAAGATCTAAGAACTGGAAGGTGTAGTTACCAATCGTTAACCGAAGGCTGAAAACGTCTCAAATTATTTCATAGACTGAACGAACGAATGATTGATTCTCGTAGGAGAAAGTTCGTTTTAAAGAACATACATTCATTTATTGATCGGTAACCACAATTAATTTGAAAAGACTTATGCTTCCTTTAATTTTTCTTTTCTTTTTTGTGCATACAAGTGAATTCACACAAACGTTCATATACGTACATACAATATACTGTGAAATTAAAAAATAACATTTTTTGCTTTTTTTTTTTAAATTTGTTTAACTATTTATAGTTTTAAGGCCTCTTGGAAAGGAGCCTTAGATATATGTATAGTGGCTTTCACTACATATTTATACAAAAACTCCTTGATGTGGGTTAATGATGTTATTTCATATGGAAAATGAGATGAATACATACATATACGTCTCAATTTAAAGATGGAAAAAAAAAAAAAAAAAAAAAAGGAAATGAAAAGGGTTGAAGGAAGCTCTTATGGGCGTTTGAATATTATTTTTAATTATTGTTAAAAATATTTAAGCATAGAAATGTAAACACTTACTTATAAAAAAAGTTAAGTAAGCATGTAAGCATAACACACAAAGCGTTATTTATAAGACGAATAGAGAAATTTTTGTGGAAAAATTTTTTGTAAAAAAATTGCATATAGAAATTGTGTGTAGGAAAATTTTCTAGAGAACTATTTTTGTAAACATTCTCAAACAGCATTTTGGTAAACCAGTTTTGCTTTTCAATTAACCAACCAGCACTTTTCAACATTCAATGCACAGAGCTTTTTTTCACCTAAAGCATCTGTGAATGGGTTACGAAAAAAAAGTATTTTCCTACTGCTTGAAATACATGTTAAATGTATTCGTTGAACGCTTTTTTTCAAGAATCACTTGAATATTTTTGCACTAAAATAACATATATACAAAATTTCTTTATATATCATCTTTAAAATAAACTTTAATTCGATTCTGACATGTTGCACGTAGTGTGCAATTGCCAAGTTCCGAACTCATGGGTGTGAAGATGCATTCGAATTCGACTAGCAAAGACACCTACCCACAAGCTTAACTGGGCTCTGTAAATGCCCTGACAGTGTAGTTAGGATTAAGATGTAGATGGGCTTGGAAGCCTTCGGCCAGATCATTTTTGTGGACACCTCATGAATGTAGCTTTCAAATAAGCTAAACAAATTCAATTTCTGCTTTTCCGAAGCATTTTTTTGCGTATTTTTCAAATTTAGTCGATTAGCATAAACTGATTATGGTAAGACGGTCAAATCCGCGACTAGGGTAAACGCCCTAACAGAACTCTATTAATATGTTTTCCAGAAAATTTCATCGTTGCCAACCTGATATTATATCCGAGTTCTATTAAAGAGTTTTAAGGTTATATGAAGTATAGTAGGTAAAGGAAGTATATGAACCATCTCTATGTATGCATCCAAGCAGTTTGGCTAACTCTGTTTTCTCTCTGTTCTCACGCATCTAATTTTGTTTTCTTTTTCTTTTTTTGCACTAGTAAGACTTACTTACCTCTTCTTCATTGCTGGCTGTATTAACGGAATCCATGCTTTGTGATAAACCAAGTGGTGCCAGAGACATTTGATTTTCCATAATTGTATTTGAATTATTGGTATTAGTTGTTGTTGTTGTTGCCGTTGATGTTGCGTTATTATTAATATTGCCGTTTGCTGTTGTCACACTATCAGCGTTGTTGCTGTTGTTGTTGTTGTTGTTGTTGTTATTGTTATTATTATTAGCTAACGAACTGCTATTTGAAGTAGAAGTCGTCGATGCAACAGCGATAACCGCTGTCGAAATATTGGAATGCGATGATGTAACGCTTCCAGAGTTAGCAGTCGAATTACTTGAGGTGGTTGCGTTACTATTCGAGCCGTTTACAAGTTTAAGATTATTACGATTTGTTAGAGGCGACAGAGATGATGACGTCGACGATGACGATGACAACGACGTTGAAGAGGATGGTATAGCTACAGTTGTTACAGCAACGGGTGGAGTTGATGTAACTGCGATATGGTTGTTGGAGGTGGAGGATGAAGAAAGAGAATTGTGGTGATTGATATGGTTGTGGCTATTTGAGGCAGTCGTAGGTGTTGTCACCGCTAACAAATGCTGTTGTTGTAAATGTCTTAATTGATTTTGTTGTTGTTGATAGAGGTGATGTTGTTGTTGTTGTTGTTGTTGTTGTTGATGCTGCTGATGCTGATGGTGCAATACGTGTTGTTGATGAGCAGCGGCTGCTGCTGCTGCGGCCGCGGCAACAGCAGCGGCGGCTTGTGTATGGGCAGCACTCGGATGGGTGCTAGTTGTGTGCAATTGATGATTTAAGAGAGCAGCAGCGGCGGCAGCAGCAGGATTAAAATGCTGTGCAGCAACAGCGGCAATGTTACGTTGATGAGCAGCGGCAGCGGCCGCAGCTGCCGCAGCAGCTACTTGTTGTGTTGTGTGGTGCGGATGTGCAGTGATAGCTGCTGTGGCAGCCAATTGAGCAGCGGCAGCTGTATTAAAGGCCAATTGATGGTGATGGCCGGCTTTCAAAGCAGCCGCAGCTGGCGCGGTAGCGTATTGGATTTGCGGTGTTAAAGTTGCGCCGGCTGGTATTACCGAAACAGCAGCGGCACACTGTCGCTTGGGTGACAACACCTGTGGGGCACCCGCTGGCGTTTGCGGCAGCGTTGGCCTGCGTTTAATCGCAATCGACGAAATGGTGATGGTTTTTTGGTACACGTTTGTTTAGGGGGGAGAGATCGTACAACTTCTATGGCTTTAATAAAAGGCCACCAAAGAAATTCCTTTCTTTCGCGTTGATATGTTTCAATTTTCTGCAGAATTTAAAAATATTGGGATGTAGAAGGGCAACTACAATTTTTTCCTGTAGCTTAACTTGTCAAAGATCTAAAAAATGAAACAATTGTTGACAAAATCAATTAAAGATATTCGTTTCGCATTATTTTTTATTACTAAAATTTAAATTAAGCTAACTCCTCTCGCAAAAGTAATCTTTTGCCCAAAGCAACTGAGGGGAGCGTTTTAAAAGCTACCGCCGATCTACCCTCTTCAACTTTTTCAATTGTTTAAATATACAAATACAAACAATTTGTAGTAATAGCAATAAGTTACGTTACCTCTGGAATTTATTTTCTTTCCAATTTTTATTTTCTAGGAAATAATTCAATCCTGCATAGCAATGGCTATGTAGAAAAGTAAATAAATTATATTATATTCTATGATTTGTGAGTAAACATATTAGGAGAATAACAACCGATAGCAATATGATACACATATGCAATAATTGTGAATACAGTATGAACAGGTGCATATAGTTTATGCCGAATAAGACGATGCAAGTGTCAGAGGAAGGGCATAAGCATACAATAATGCAAATTCCTTTAAACTTCTTCATGCTATTAAGCTTAGTTGATGGCGCTCTTCATGCACCAGCTTAAGTTAATGAGACATCGCCTACTCAAAGAGTCTGAAGGCCCGGAGACTGTCTTACTCAATAGTCGTATGTCAAAAGTGAGAAAACTTTGTACGACAATTGAAGAAAAACGTGCCCAGAGCCGGGATAACTAGAAGCTATTATCCTGTTTCGATCTGGTGAATTGTAAGAAAATTTCGTTTACCTGCTCTCTTTCCCTTACCACTTTCGGGCAATCATCGTATTAAACGTATAGGTCACCTCAACTACATTGGTCATTTAAAAAGAAAAACAATAAATGGGAAAATCCGCCTGACTGACTATTCTTAGCTGCAGGCAGAACCGTACATTTACCTCTCGTTTTCAACTGGTAAGCAATGAAGGTTGTTCTAGGAACACCTGTCCACGTAATAAAAGAGATATTTTCCCTCGAAAAAAACCTATAAAGACTACACTCACAGGAACCGATCTCAAACTTTGATACTTTGTACAAACAATTAAGCAATTAGCGATCAAACCCGATTAACGCTGAATATCTGAATTGATCAGTAATTCGAAATTATATTCAAAAGTAAAGTCATAAATTAAGATGAAATTTAAATAAAATTGAATTTTTTTTATATTTTTTTTTTTTTTTTTTTGAAAAATTTAAAACGATTATTCAAAAGATTAAATCCGCGCTCCAGCAAAAGCGATGTTAACAAAACTAACTAAAATATGGCATAAAAAACTTGCTCGAACAACTTTAACAATAATTTGAGGGCCATTTGTCTTTTAAATTTTTATAAATTAAAGAAAAAAAAAAAAAAAAAACTCTTTTTCGAAAATCTTACATAAAAAGTCACGATGAACTAGATGACTAACATTGAAATTCTAAATTTATGTATAACGATATATGTAGACATGTGCAAATCGATAACAATATTAGAAATTTACGGGATAAGCAGAGTTCCGTGACACATTTGTTTATTTTAAAAATTAATTAAAATTTGTTTTCACAATCGACACTGAAGCCAGAGAGAGTTAATTGATATCGGAAATTATAAACAAGAATTTCAATTAAAAGACAACCTGGGTAAACTTCCTTCGCACAAAGCCATTAAGGAAAAGTTTAGTTTAGAAAAGAAAAGCATATGCCTACTGCGTACGCATACGTTTAACAACATTTACCATATTTGGTTTCATAAGTGTTTCTCTACCGACTTTCAAATTATATGCCCTACCCGAGCATGTCCCGCACATTAGTGTAGTGGCTTTTGCTTATTAATATTTACATCAAGACTTCCACTTACCTGCTTACCGATGTAGGTAAACCTAGCAATTAATAATAATAAACATTATCTGTTTATCTTTATTGTAGACACAATAAAGTATTGTCTACATATTCGGAATTTTGTTAAGCAAGTTTGAACAATATATACAAAGAGTTATTAATCTCTAAAGTGAATTAATTTAGATATCAAAGAGAACGCACATTATAATGTACCTAAGTTGACATTGCAAACAAACCTAGCTGGCGGTTTGAACAAGCACTTTTATACGACAAATAAACCTATTAAACGAAATATAGTTTAAAAATTTTCCAAAAATCATTTTTAGATTTCTTTTGCAAACGCTCGTCTTACTCTAAAGGTGCATCTTTGGCATTCACATTAATATCACATTAATGCTTTAGTATTGCAAAGCAATTAGTCCATGTCAGCTTTTCTTTACATAGATAGACCTTTTCAAAATTCTCGGTAAATACCTGAAGCAGCAAATTTCAACTAAATACTAAGTTGCATAGAAGAGTAGCTACCGGTTTTTCTAAAAGTTATACTCATACATCAAACTATGACTTCTCCATGCGCAACTACCCCTATCCCTAACTTGTGCTTAACGGCATGAGTTATCCTGGCGACGGGTGTAACACATACCTTTTAAGAAACAGTCAAATGCAGAAGCGTTTCTTGCTTGCCTTATTCGAAGAAAAAGTTCGCCGAGACAAGACAAATGGCCAAGATGTAATAGCGGAAATGCAAACAAAAAGTGTTTCACGTCAACGGGATCACTAGGATCGACGACAAAGTCCAATATGCTTTTCCTCCCGTTAGCCTCTTTAATTACGTGTCAGAGGGGCAGGTAGAAATGTCCACAAATTCGAATAACTTGTTCAACCCATTAGTGCCACTAACCGCGTGCAGCATGCTGTAACGTATAACAAACGCAACGAAACCATCGAAGAGCTAGTTTACCAACAACAACTGATGCAGTTGAAGCGATCAAACAACAAGCTAAAAGATATGATGAACATATATTTTTTGAGCCGAAATACGTTCGACTACCAATTTCAAAACCAGCATAAAAAACGCTGGAAATACTGAGCCGGACTCTGCTACTGATTTCACCAATTCTTGCTTCTTCTACGCAAAGTATATATCGGTCAGTGAATTATTGCATGGCTGAGAAGAGCTTCAATGACGATAGCCAAAAAGTTACTTTTGTCTCACCTGTCTTTTCGCCATAGCATAGCATACTTACTCCGGCAGAGAAGTAGAATAAATGTGTAACTAGCGGTGAATGACTACTGATTTCACCGTTTTTTTGACATAAGCGTTCGTTTTCATAGAGAAGATGCCAGAACTTATTTCTACACGGGTGTAAGTTTTGCAGCTTATTCTCCGTAGTCGTGAGTGCATAACCTTTGCTTTCTTAAGTTAGATCTATGGCTATTGAATAAGAAAATGTAAGTCAGGAGGCAACTTCTTATATAAAAGCTTACGACCTCAAGCATTTTTACAATAAACGGCAGACTAGCCGAGCTAGGTGGATTCAGAATTTTACGCTTCTAGTCAGTATTATCTTTGATGGGTATTTTAAGGTGTAATTTATGGCTTTGGAAGTTTCATAAGGAGTGTAGGAGTCGGTTGTGTATATAAATATGACTCTTGTAAGCGGCAGAATACTTCTGCTTCTAAGTAAGAGCAGTTTAGCTAGAGAAGGAATCGCCTTCACAGTGCAACATAACTGGTATGGTACTCTAGAAATCTTCAAGTTTGAGGTTATGATTGTTTTTAGAATTTCAAATTTGGAAAAATTGTCCTCTCCTCTCCGTTACAGAAGAGAAGCTTAAGCAGACCTTCTCGGACAATGTAATCACGCAGGGGATGCAGTCCATCGTAACCTTCATAGGAAGAAAGGAAAACTTTCATTCTCTCTGGGAAATGTTGGTTTGTCATTTTTAATCGCCATCTGTTGACCCTGACAAAGGTTTGATATTCGGTTCCTTTTCTTTGAAATTTTAAGCATTATGGGCATATGTTGGCTCTAACAAAACAACTGATTCGACTCCAAATCTCATACAAATTTCAAGTGAAAAAGTCGAAGGTTTTCAAATTTTAAAAATATTATTATATGAAATGAATGAATGTTTGTTATTCTATTACGTACGTAGAGGTTATATAAAAGCAAACCAAACCAAACCACAAAATTTACGGATTGTCGTAAAATGTAATTTATGGCATTTTCATATCTACCACTATATAATTGCTAACATAGGTAGGGTGTAAGCTTCCATTGCTTTATTTGTTGTGGTTTTTATATTAAATTATCATCGATTTGAGTTAATAAAAGCAACAGTTTTAGTTATAAAATAACAATCGCATGTAAACGATTACATGCTTTCTATCGAATGTTTAATTTTGTTTTCCCTTTTTCCGCTTTTGTTGGGGTTTTTTTTTTTTCAGATTATGTAAAAGAGAAAACAATAAACATTTTTTATTTAATATACAAAGAATATATTTATTAGTGATTTTGCTTGGGGTTTTGGATTATGTAAAAGAAAAAAATATAAATAAATTTTTTTATTTAATATACAAGAAATATATTTATTGGAGACAAATCAACTTTTGCTTGTCCCTGCACATGTCTGCTATTGTCTGCTATATATGTGAACATCAGTGTTCTCATCTTTAGGCCGGTATATAGGCCGATGGTACGTAATCATTGACCATCGAATGTCGATACACTTAAGGGTTGTTACGCTCAGTCGGAGAATTCAAAGCCAATAACGCATAATTGTCAATGTTTCGATTATGTTCAGCCTTTTATGAGAGTTTGGCAGCATGGTTATTGAATTTATGACTATCTAGAGAATCATTTCAAATAGACAAGTTTTGCGTGTTCAAAAAAAAAAAAATAAAAATAAAAAAAATATATGACTATAAAAATGGTGAACCGCAACAATTTTTGCTTGTCTTGCTCACGTTTTCCAAACGAATAAAATTTTATTCGAAAATGTTTGTTTTTTATGTAAAAATATTAAAAATATTCTCTTAACAATTTATTAAACAATAAAAAGAATAAAGTTTCAATCATACGACACAATGTAGAAACAGGTCTAACTGCACATTCAATGTATTGCTGGCGTAGTTTTGAAAAACACATTTTATCCTACTCGCAGGTCGGAAAGCAATGCCACGCATAAGGCGTATTT